AAAAAGACAAAAAAAAAAAATAGACATACTGCATACTGACATCCCAAAAGTACTCTGTGAAATAAGGTTTTAATGGCCAAGTACATGTCCTCCTGCCAGGTCCCACAATACATTAAAGAATCTGGAAAGCTGGGCAGTCAGAGCCTACCTAATTTTACTTACCCTATTTCGCACACCTACTTGGCGTGAGAACCTTTTCAACCTATGATCACTGTGTGTGGAACACTGTGGGAAAAGCTATTCTAGAAGCCACACATGGAGGCAAAACCTCACTTTGTGATTCCCTCCCTACTACATGAATTTTCCATCTGCTTAGCACAGAAAGCCCACAAGTTCGAAAAGAACTACATTGGGGCTGGAGAGATGGCTCAGCGGTTAAGAGCACTGACTCTTCTCACTGAAGACCTGGTTTCAAATCCCAGCACCCACGTGGCAACTAACAACCTTCCGTAGCTCCAGTCCCAAGGGATCCAACGCCTTCTTCTATCCACCACTGCACGGCATGGGTACACTTACACACAGGCAAGCATAACACTCATATACATAAAATTAAAACAAAAAAAGAACAACATAATTTCCATCATTCGTACATGCCAGTCCAGATGAGTCCGAACCCCATGACAGTCCTGGGCTCTGTACTTAGTAGGGTCCACCTTGGTTTAATATTTTGATGTCACCATCTTGAGATTAATCATATTAAAACAAGAAGCCCACATTTCCTTTTTGCACTGGGCCTAACAAATTATGTAGCTGGTTTAGGCACCAAGATACATTCAAAATGTTGCCAAGGTGATAAGTACCTCACGAGATGCTCAGACAGGGCAGACCCTAGCTTATTTCACATAAAATCTAGCTCCCAGGACATTCCCTGCCCATATTCTTCTCAGAGTAAGTCCTTCCTGCCCCACACATCAAGGTCTATATACAGTATTTCACAACTGTTAAGTTCTAGGAGCTCTGCACAAAGCTACACTTGATGGGCTTGTTAGGTTCACAGAAGACCTAGAATGTGGAAGAAGACTTCAAACAGAAGACCTAGGATGTATAAGACTGCACTCCCTCTTTCCCAGTCTTTGCATAATTATTCATTCCCTCAACACAATTATGGAAAAGAATTTTAATTTAATAGATAACATGAGAGAAAAAAGGAAATTGAGTGGCTGCATTAGAACAGAGTCAGAGGCAAAGATCCTAGGCTGATTTTGAAAGGCCCACCATTGAAAGTGGTTATGTAACAAACCCCCATGTCTCTGGAGAAGAGCCAGCTCCACCCATGGGAGTTAACAATGCTTCATCTGGAGCCTCAGTGGTCAACAGTGACCCAAGCTCATACCGCTAATTAGGAAGCTCTGGTCCCGCTTTCCCTTAGTATACTGTGTTGAAGCTTTTTTGAGTAGGATACTGTAAGAAATCAAGCATAAACTGAGGACCCTATCTCTCTTGTTCAGTGATATTAAACTGATATTCACCTTTAAAAATAACATCTAAAAGCTGCAGATTTTTTTAAGGTGCTAATGTACATCAATGTACTTTATATTAGAATGTCCAAAACAGCAGGAACTCACGGTCTGACTCTCAACACACATCACTAGTTGAATAATGACACTGAGTAAAGGGGTGGCCCTTAACACACTAATCTATAAAACAGATACATAACCTGTACCTATTTGGTTCAAAGAATTTTAGTAAAGATAAATAAAATAACATGTACTCTGAAACTAAACTCTCCAAACTAAAGGACCTATGGAAACACATCAACATCCACAAGGGACAGAAAACCTATTTTCAAATACAGTCTTACCTTGCATATGGTATGAAGGAAAGGCTATACCTACAAGGAAAAAAAAAAAATTTAATGAAGGGAGTGGAAAATTCCCCAGTAGAATGCTCCTGAGCTCCAAGAGCACTCAATGATTTATCCTGACAGCTCCTGTCTCATGTGTATATACACATTGCATAAACATTCTAATATATAAGTAGGTGGCACAAAGACCCATATGACAATAACTGCTCTGACATGAGCCTCTCCAAGGTACTGCTTTAACCAAATGAGCTAGCAGTGGTCACCTCAAATAGGCAGATTCTAGATAGCCATAGGCATCGGAGTCCCATTTTCAGATAACTGCAAATAAAATCCAAAATAGTTATGTTCCAACACTTTAGAAATCCTCAACAGAATTTTACTTAAACACAGGTGAGATCAGTTTTCTGTTCTGCCCCCACTAATTAAAAAAAAGTCACAACTGACTATAGATGACAATGTACCAAGACTACACTACAGTGTTTCAAGAACCCAAGCAAAGATATCTCAGTGACCCAGTTCAATCACTCAGTCACACTGCCCAGAAGGAAAACTATGCAGGGTAGAGGCTCCACAACTCTAAATAACCAGGCCTGTGTGTCAGCTAGAATGTAAGTTGATCAGCCTTAAGAGAAGCAAACAGTCACATCAGTGTTCAAGGGAAATCAAACCTGAGCTCACTCAAATGTTAACTCCTTGAAACTAGCTTCAATCACTTTATAAGCAAAGAGCCTTGTATATGTAGCTACCAATTTCTGCACCCCAAAGAAAGGCAAAATTAAACATAAGCCATCAAACCAGGCCCTTGCAGCATCTATGGCAACATCAATCATTCCTTCTCTTCTACCTTCCACATACACAAGCTCATTTACTTATGGACATGGTAATTCTGAAAGACAGTTTGACAGCATATTTCTTCAAAGTTTGAAGTATCAAAATTGATGGGGAAAAAGGGGATCGAGCTTACATTCTCAAGATCCATTTCTACTAAACAGGGGTTCACTGGTCCTGAGAAGCTTAAAATGCCACAGGCCTCTCTTTTCTCTGCATCCTAGCAGACATTTCTATCCCAAGATTGCATAGTTACACCTATACTAAAATTATTCCGGCAGACATCACCACCCAAGGACATGTCAAAGCAGCACAGAAACGTCTCCAATTACACACGTGCCAGCATCCTTCTCCCTCAGAAGTTGTACACAGGTTTATAATAGTCAAGAATCCCCAGTCCCATTCATGGCTTGGAAAAAATCATGTTTCTGATAGCCCTCTTACTATACTTGTCCCTTGAATTATAATTTCCTAGTCTTCACCCGAAATTTCCAAAAGCCAACAAGCTGCCAGTGCATATGTTGATCCCACATCCACATGGTTTTTCATCTCATCGGCTACTGCTCCTCAGCTCCAGCTGATAGTTCCCCCTTTTCCCTTTTGCTAAATGCGTCATTCCACCACAAGTCTAACAAACTGCTTTTCTTGCCACCCTCCTCTTCTGTTAATGTCTATTTGACTCAGCCTTTACAGTCCTTTTGTTGTCCTTGCACTTAGGGGACATGAGTGACTGAATAACATTTGTACCTCTCACAACCATGAGCTCAGCAAAAATGCTGCAGCTGCAAATGAAGAGCCTCTGGTGACCACTAATGCCATCTGTTGGCAGTGGGCTGAGTCAACTGCCTGACTTATGAAGCCCAACTTCTTGGCAACTCTTCAATTGAAGAGCTTCTGTGTTTTTCTAACCCTCCTACCCACAACAGATGGGTTTTATCTCCTTTGACTGCATGAATTGGGGGATGGAAGGGGGGGTATACAGACTGCTCTAAAGGATACTTTACCATGTCAAGGCCAAAGACTGCAACACGCAGAAGATGAGGGCAAGTCCCTTCTTTTCCCACTAAAAGAAAAATGATATGGTTATAGAAAAGTGTGTGACAAGCGGTATAAACTAAAAACATCATGAAAAATTACAGTCCACACTTACCCAAAAGGCAGAACATAGGGTAAGCACAAAAGACAACTAGGGAAAGAGAGGAGACATTAATTAATACAATGTATTTCAAACCCACTTCACCATCCATGTCTCACGCATACACAAAAAAATTCAAACTAGACAATAAAAACTTGCAGATTAAAAAAGATGCAGGCTGAGTGTGCTAGCTCATGCCTTCAATCCCAGCACTAAGGAGGCAGAGGCAGGTGGTCTCTGTGAGTTCAACACTGGAAGGGGAAGGGGAAGTCCAGGATAGCTGGGACTACAGGGAGACCCTGTCTGAAAAAGACCAAAACAGAAGGGAAGGGAAGGAGATGGATGTTCTTCCACTTTGAAGTTTTCCCTGACTGGCCAGCAATAAAAGTACCTATCTGGACCAGTCATACAATCATCTGTCCTTTCATTCAACACAAAAGCTGAACACAACCCTTTGTATTTTGTATTTTACAGAACACAAACTTGTATTCTGTAATTCAACTCTTGCAAACACTAGTCTCTGGAGTAGAAAAGGTGTGAGGACAAAGGTCAACATGAGATGTCAGCCTCACAGCCAGCAAGTCAGTTATCTGTTTACCTGTCACCTGATACTTCACTATGTCCTTTCTTAGAAAGTTCTTTCCATCAGGGAGTTGTCAAACCACCTACATCTGAGCCTAGAAAAAAAACAATTGGTGCTCCAGCCACCAGCCATGCCTTTCATCTCCACTCATCCATAAGAGTAGTTACTTAATCAATGTGCCCTAAACATTCTCTGTGTCCAGCACTGTGCTCTGAAAGGACATAAAGAACAAACCTGATCATGGCCTTAGAGGACATACCTACATGAATAAGTGAGATGTATACAAACTAAAGCCAGGCATGCTAGTGCATGCCTTTAATCCCAGCACTTGGGAGGCAGAGGCAGGTGGATCTCTGTGAGTTAGAGGCCAGCCTGGTCTACATAGTGAGTTCCAGGCCAGCTGGGGCTATAGGGAAACCCTTTCTAAAAAAAACCAAAAAAAAAAAAAAAAAAAACAGAGATGTGTACAAACTAAAACTAAAAAAATGTCAATCAAGTTGTCCATTTCATAATACTAATCCAGAGAATGGGGTCTGGATTGATTTTGACAGCTGTATGGATGATTGGGTCAAAGAGAGAGGTAGTCTGAGTTGATATGATAGAAATAAGAACTCCCATATGTGGGGCTGGGTGTGACAGTACACAGCCTTAAGCCCAGCCCTTGGGAGGCAGAGATAGGTGGAAGAGATCTGTTCTGTGAGTTGAAGGTCAGCCTGATATACATAGGGAGTCATGCCAGACTAGGTAGGTCGCAAAAAAAACACCTCCAATTCCAGCACTCAGGAGGGTAAGAGAAGAGGATTCTGAGTTCAAGGCCATCTCAAAACAATTTATCAAGACCCTGTCTTAAAACAGATACTAGATACCACCTCAGTGGTAGAGTATTTACCTAGCATGCACAAGGCCCTGTGTTTAATACCTAAGTTAAAAAAGGAAAAGAAAGACTCCCATCTTCAAGTGCAGTTCTTACTCACCAACACTAGGATTGTTGCAATCAGACGCGTGGGCTCAAACATGCGCTTCAGCTGTTTTACTGGTCCCATGAGGAAGATGGTGCTAAGAGGCAAACACACACAAGCTCTTAAGACCAGTCACAGGAGACACACCAAGTCACTTCCCAATAGCTCCTGTGGCAATCATAGGAGTAGCATTAATAGCTACCATCTGAACAGCTCTTATTTTGGGCCAGGCACTGAACTTATGGGACTTTTATGCACTGCCCTCATTTAATCCATCAAGGAGCTATGAAGCAGGGACAATTAGTATGCTTATTTTAGAGAGGAAGAAAAAGCCAGGGGTTACACAACCAAGGCCACCCAACTAATAAGGGATGGAGCTGGACTGTATATGCATGTGGGCCTCTCTCTAGAGCCACTCACACGATCCATTTCTCTGAGGTACTACTCTGCCTTTGTGACAACTGACCCATGGAAACAAGCCAACTAGAAAACTCACATAATTTAAGAAACAAAAACATACCCTACAGGCTTAAGACTGGTTATGTGAAAAAGTGGAACACTTTTTTTTCCTAATCTCCAGGAAAGAACTTCAATGATACGAGTAACATCTACTGCTGAATGCTTGCTAAAGACCAGGTGTTATCCATTTCATCCCTGCCTCAGCTCTGAGCTAGGTCTTATTAGTTATTTCAGAGACATGAGAACAAAAGGCTAATCTACTTATTCAAGATCACACAGCTAAGAACCCAAAGTGCTAGTACTCACCGCCATCAATGCTGAAAGGCATCCCTGGCATGCCTTCTGTATGAATGGAACGAGAGAGCTAGCTAGTAGGAGAGAGTGACCACAAATGAAGCAGGCCCACACCTAACACATCAAGTACCAGGACCAGGTTTAAGTCACATTTCCTGGCTCCTGAAGAAATGTCACGTGACATGCAGTGGGCGCTCACTGCAGCCAATATTCAGAACAAGCAAACCAGCAGATGGCACTAACTACTGAGCAGTCAATGACAAAATAATTTTTACGTCTGCCCCTCTTTGAGGTTAAACTGCAGCTTGAAGTCAAGGCTGCTTTCTGAACTCAAGTGTCCACGCTCAGAGATTTCTTTACCTAACAGAGTAAGAGTAAGAAGCAACAGTCAAGGCTAGTCTTATAAATCAAATGTAGCAGCTGGGCGTGGTCCTGTAGTCCTAGCACTTGGGAGGCAGAGCAGGCCAGCCTGTCTACATAGTGAGTTCCAGGCCAGCTGGGGCTACAGGGAGACCATTTCAAAAAAGACCAAAAAAAAAAATAAAGGTGTGGTAGTGCACATTTATAATCCCAGCACTTGGGAGCCAGAGGCAGGCAGAAAAGCCAGAAATGCCTAGTAACACCCAGGAAATAACAATTTGCTCCTTTTATTATTTCCTTCTATCATGCTATGAAGTGTTCGTCCCATTAAGATTTGCTGAAGGGCTCTTTTGGACTAAGCAGCACATCTGTATAATTATGTTCAATCTAGACTATACATTTGACCCACACTGTCTACCCAAAACAAGCCCACAAAAGCTAGTATATGAGATGGCTTCAGAGACAACATCAGACATCTCTGAGGGCCAGCATCTCACTAAAAACCCAAACTCTTAAGAAGGTGGGACCATGCCAAGCGTGGCAGTGCACACCTTTAATCCCAGCACTTGGGAGGCAGAGACAGGCGGATCTCTGTGAGTTCAAGGCCAGCCAGGTCTAAATAGTGAGTTCCAGGCCAGCTGGGGCTACAGAGAGACCCTGTCTCAAAAAAACTTAAAAAAAAAAAAAAAAAAAAAAAAGGTGGGACCCCAGATCATACATTCAACCAACTGCTTATTCCAGGCAGACACAGAGTTTGGGTACCAGTGAGGACTAAGTGAGACACAAACCTTTGTCAAGTGGCTCAGACAGTGTGAGCAAGTCATTGCAATAAAATGCTACTTGTGCTGTCACCTAAGCATAGATGGGACTGAAGGAGCCACAAAGGAAATCACCAGTTCCAGGGAGAAGGTAATCAGGAAAGTCACAGAGGTGTTGACATCTGAGCCATGTTTTGACAAATGAGCAAATAACTGCCAAACTGGGAAGAAGAGATGGGGCGGCACTTCAGGCAGAAAAAAAAAGGCCTGAGAAAGATTTTTGCATGTTTGGAGAGACTCTAGAAGTGCAGCCTGGCTGAGGAGTGGGACGGGGTGAGGCCAGATCTCAAAGGGCCTTGCCTGTGTACATGCTGAGGCACTTGGATTCCATCCACAGAGAGGGGACAAAGAGCCACCCAAGAGGCTATAAATGAAGCTCCACAGTTCAGAGGAAAACTGGAGGGGAAGCAATAAAGGAGGTGGAGGGATTCAGGTGAGGAGATGGACCACAGCTGAGACCTTCTATAGGAATCTCTCCCTGACTCCAAGTCAGGTCATGTCAGCCCCCTCAAAGCATTTCTTCCCTTCCCACAGTATGTTGTGTCATCAGTTTACATCTCTGCCTGGCTGACTAGCAAGCTCTAGGATACCTGTGTTTTGTAGTCTCCTGTGTCCAGAGTATGATCATGCTTACCCAGTGAGCACAAAATCAATCAGTAAAGGGCAAACAGCCACAGGGATATAGAGACAGCTAAGAAAAAACAACAGTAAATCTTACTGCATAATCATCGGGCATAGGAGAACTTAGACAACCTCCTCCCCAAGACTCTCCAGGGAAAGGAGAAGGAAGGTAGAGGAAAGATGACAGAGTTCAGGTTCCCAAAGGCCATTCTAAAGAAGTCAGGCCAGCACTAGCCACTGGAGGCACAGGTGTGGTCAGGTATCAGAATGAACAGGAGTAGCTCTGGTATCTCTGTGCCTGAAGTACAGGGAATGGCTATCCACCTCCAGAAAGCACTCAATGGGTACCCTGCCGTAGGAGCTCACTCTCAAGTCCACGATGGCCAGATACTAAATGATAACCAATAACCAGTTTCACTTACAGCCACTGGTGACCCTTTCAGAAGCTGCAACTAAGCCTCTGACAGCCTCTGACAAGGGGGGTGGGGTTGGGGCTGTACTGTAAGCCTTGGAGAATGCAGTATACGGAAAAGCACAGCAGTGGCACATTCCCTGGTTTCTCCCTGGGGTGTTTCAAGGATAAACTAAGATATAAGATGTTTTGAAATAATGGGCTATGAATATAATGGATTCCAACTACCTCGTCTCTTCCCAAGTCCTTAAAACTACTCTATCCTTAGCCTGGCATGGTGGCGCACACCTTTAATCCCAGCACTCGGGAGGCAGAGACAGGCAGATCCTCTGTGAGTTCGAGGCCAGCCTGCTCTACAGAGTGAGTTCCACGCAGCTGGAGCTGCAGGGAGACCCTGTCTCAAAAAGACCAAAAAAAAAAACAAAAAAAACTACTCTATCCTTCTTCCCTTCCATCCAACACAATCCACATCCATTTTCCCATCTATTGAACAGCAAGGTTGTAAAAAATGGGGGGGAAAAGAAAGGTTACCTCCCGATTGATGAGATGTTACCCAAGGTGTAAAGCACTGCAAAGGGCCTGAGTTCCTTCCCGGGCACCCACAGCAGAAGAGTACCCTAGAAGGGGAACACAGAGCATTTGCGCATGAGTGGAGCGACCCCCTCTCCCACTAGAGCCACACAACTAAGAGCTCACACAGGGAGCCCTGAGGAGCCCACCGCCCTCCCTGCCTCCCATCTCCTCCCCTTTCCATGCATTTTAATGAACAGCAAAAGAGAAAATGAAGTGGGCAACAGGGAGAGAATACAGCAGAGCAGCACAAAGCCAGTGGACAGAAGGGATCTTACCAGCAGTGAGCAGAGGATTCCGATAACAAAACACACAATGAAGCCTTTAATTCTGGTGCCCCAACTTAATGACGACGCTTCCACAATCTGAAACATCAAAGCAAAAATTACATATTTGTCCTCTGGCCTCCACATGTCTCTGTCTGTCTCTCTCTCTCAATAAAATATTTAAAAAAAATTTTTTTTACTTTATTATTACTATTTTTTTTTCGGTCTTTGTTTTTTTGAGACAGGGTCTCCCTGTAGCCCTAGCTGGCCTGGAACTTACTATATAGACCAGGCCGGCCTTAACTCACAGAGATCCACCTGCCCCTACCTCCCAAGTGCTGGGACTAAAGGCATGCACCACCACACCCAGCTCAATAAAATATTTTTTTAAAAAAGAAAGAAATGGTGTTAATACCCACTAAGGAAGGAAATACATACAAAATCCCACACATTGACAGGTACAGGAAGACAGGGCATTCAGCTCCTCTCAGAGCTACAACTCCTGTCCAGGCCCAACTCTTCCCTCCAGCAGCTGACAGTTTACTAAGCCTCTGGTGGGGCATCCCCAGAGGTGGAGGCTTCCTGCCTCAAGTACAAGCAGGGAGGCAGGCCAGCAAAGCTGCACGTGGCCGTGCTGATTAGTCGTCAACCTGACCGAGCCAGACTGCTAAGGAATTAATTATCTCCATCTGATTGGCCTGTGGCCATGTCTGTGAAGCATTTTCTTAACTGACAAATGATGTAAGAGGACCCAGCCCACTGTGGGTGGTACTGTCCCTGGGCAGGTAGGCCCGGCTACATAAGAAAAGCAGCTGAAGAAGCCAGTGGAGCAAGTCAGTAAGCTGCGTTTCTCCATGGATTCTGCTTCAAGCACCTGCCTTGGCTACCCTTGATGAAGGACTGTAAGCTGTAAGATAAAATAAACCCTTTCCTCCCCAAGTTGCTTTAGGATAGTATTTTACCATAGCAACAGAAACCAAACTAGGACAGAAATTGGTACCAGAGTGAGAATCTTGCTGTGATGGACCTGACCATGTTGTTTTGGGGGAAGAAGGTGGGGGATTTTGGAGCTTTGTCTGCAAAAACCACTGAGTGTTCAGTTTAATGAGCTGTTATAGGAACTCGGAAGACAGCGCTGAGAGCAATGGTAGGCCTGGCTTTTGCAGTTTCAGAAAGAAGTTTGCAAATCCTTCAAAGACTATCAAGTCCATTTGTGTGATACATTTTTTAAATTAAGAATCCATGAAAGTGAAACCTTTTTTGCTTTACTAGAACAACGGATGTTGGCTAGCTGGGGCTGAGAATCAGCAGATTATTATAAGAGACTAGAACCACTGAGGTGAAATCTTCTAGGAACTATTTCCTCCAGATCCTGAAGGGTTCAAGGTTGCATCTCAAGCTGGAAGGTAAACCTGACAATGTGTAAGAGTCTCCCACATGGTGCTAACTTTTAAGGCACAACAGGGTCGTGGAGAGCAGCCAAGGCCTGGCACCATGAGGGGCCAGGAGAGGCCACTGGTGAAGGTGCAGCCCAGTTGTAGTGGACAACTCGAGATTAGAGGGGTTATGAAGAGAAGCTGAGGCTTAGCTCCATTTGGCTGGGTAGGATTCCCTGGCACAAAGGCTAGGAGGCCATTGGTGAAGATGCAGCCTCAGTTTCAGTGGAGGCTCCAGGATATTAGGATATACTCCAGGACCATGGGACATCCACCAGGAGCAGGTGTGGAGTGGAGCCAGCTTGAGCCCTGGGAACAAGCTGTGTGTGCTACAGATGGCAGAGCCAAAGCCCAAGTCTCTGAAGCCTTTAGACACTGAGTTATACTGCTGGACTTGGGTTTTGCTTAAGTGTGCCTGATTTTTCCCTTTTGAAATAAGAAAATTTTTATTTTACAAGTGCCTTCAGTTAGAAACTTTTGAGTATTTTTAAAAAGACTTAAGTTTGAAATTTTTAAAAAGACTGTGGAACTTTAAAAGTTGTATTATTTTAAATTGTGGTATTGACATGAGATCCTGAGGATAAACAAGAAAGTTATGGTTTAATAGTGATGTGTTTGTGTGTCAAGCTGACAAAGGGGCAATTGTCCCAGTAAGTTTTGTCTACTTGACACAAACTATAGACACCTAGAAAGAGGGAACCTCAGTTGAGAAATTTCCTCCATCCAATAGGCCACAGACCAAACAGTCTGTAAGGCATTTTCTTGATTGGTAATAGTTGCAGGGGGCCCAGCCCACTGTAGGTGGTGCCATCCCTAGGCAGGTGGGCCTGCTATATATAAGAAAGGTATCTGAGCAATCCAGGGGAAACAAGCCAGTAAGCAGCATTCCCATATGGTCACTGCTTCAGTCTCTGCCCCTAGGTTCCTGTTTGAGCTACTGTCCTGACTCCCTTGATGATAGACTGAAACCTGTATTCTAAAATAAACTTTCCTCCTCAAGTTGCTTTTGGTCCTGAGGTTTATCACAGCATTAGGGAAGCAAACTACAACAACAGCCCAAAGTCTTACTACAGCCCAGCAGGCAGGACTACACGTGGAAAGACAGAGCTCCACCAGGCAGGACCTGGGTCATCGGGGAAGATAAGGGCAGGGCAATCAAACAGTTTGGTCCAATGTCCATGCTCTCCTACCTCCACTAGCTCAACTGCAGCACAGCATGCTGGGACCTCAGAGAGAAAAGGCCACACTTACCAGGACTCATCCCTGATACCTGATCTCAGTGAAGATGGTGGTACTTATAGGGTGCTAGCACCAGCCAAGTCACCCAGGGTCTGCCAGATGCTAGCTAACTAATTACTACCCTGTTCCTGATTCTCTGCCACCATGACTAATGCCTCCTCAGGGCAAAGTCCAAAGGAAGCCAAGATCTCCTGAAAAGCTCTACTGAATGGAAAAGCCCACAAGCAGATCTCAATGGTTCTTTCCCATATCAATGAGGACAAGTCTCTGCATCAGAAACCTTTCTGGGTTGTCCATCTGATGCAAGAGGGCACCACTGCCCCCAGATGGACACAGGACAATGCCAGAAAGCCAAGCACTACATCCAGGCCAGCATTTATACATCCAGGAAACCCCTTGTGTGGGCAGTACAGCCTGACAAAATAAGCAAAGTAGCCTATTACATTACCACCTGACTGGCAGAGGAAGGTAGTTAGTTGTACAGGGTACTCCCTCAGCCCTGACTGCCCCAGCTGAAGGACCTGTTCCAACCTGTCAAACTAGAAACTTAAAGAGAAGGACTAAAAGGCTACCCAGGCTTGACAGGGACTACTGTTGAAAGGTTTAATCTCCAGCCAAGAGGAAAGCATTTTGGTCATCCAAAATGGGTTCTCTCCCCACTTGCACACAGTCACATGTATTGGCACTGCAATACCACACATGCACACACAAAGCATCTAAAGAAGCCTGGGGCAGAGTCCACCCCTGCAGAGAAGACGCACTTAGGGATGGGACAGTCTAGGGGTAGAGTACTTGCCTAGCATGAGCAAAGCTTTGGGTTCCATACCCAGTACCTCAAAAGGGCACTCAGTACAGCGTAAGGACCTGACAGCTGAGTCATGTGTTTTGTGCAGAAGCCACCTGTCCACCTTGAAGAATCCTTTTTCTTTTTTTTTTTTTTTTGTTTTTTTTTTTCCTTGAGACAAGGTCTTCCTGTAGCCCTAGCTGGCCTGGAACTTGCTATGTAGACCAGGCTGGCCTCGATCTCAGAGATCCACCAGTCTCTGCCTCCTGAGTGCTGGGATTAAAGGTGTGCACCAATTCCCCTGCCACACACACACACAGACACTCCTGCTAAGAGTCTGTTTCTTAAAACTCCCCCAGCTCTAAAATAACCATGGAATCCTTTGTTACCAGGTTTTAGAGGGCCCAAGACAATCAAATCAGACCTCTTTTGACTAATGCACCTAACTTCCTATGAAGGGCAGAATAAAATGAACAGCTCCCACTCTTCTCAACCATGCAAGCACCAAAGAAATTTACTTTGCCAGGGTGAAAACAACCAAGATACAGGAACAGACAAAAGAGTAGCAAAGCAATCAGATTTGTTGCCTAAGCACTAGTAGGCATCACCAGAGATATTCCAAAAATTCAACCTTTTTCTATTAAAAAAAAATTTGCTTGTTTTTATTTTATGTGTATGAGTGTTTTGCCTGCATGCACGTAAGTGCACCATGTGCATGCTATGCCTGCAGAGGCTGGAAGAGGGCACCAGGTCCCCTGGAGCCGGAGTTATATTTGTTAACCACCTCGTGGGTGCCATCAACAGAACCTGGGTTCTCTGTAAGAGCAGCCAGTGCTCTTAACCGCTATCTCTCCAGCCCTGTTTTTCTATTTTTTTAGGAAGATAAACCATAAACTATAGAACTGGAATTAGCATTGGCATTCCTTGCTACATAAGAATGCTACAGGAGGACAAGGAGATTCCAGCCTTTGTAGAAATTAAAAATCACCAGCAACAGAAAGTTTCTGCCAAAAACATGTTTCTAGTTTCCACCTTCAGACAAGAGGATTAACACTTTGGTCCTACAAGTCTCTCAAACTGAATTCATCCAAATGCTACATGTGGCAGGGGGGTCGCAACGGGCAGAGCAGAGACTAATTCACCAGTGTTTTCTGCTGTACGTGTGTTCTTTTACACTCAGTCATGAAAGAGGAAGCAGTTATTCCACTTCTAACTGGACTCAAAGGAAGAAAACACTTTTTTTTAATCAATTTATGAAAACAAATTCAATTGATGGAAAATATCTGTACACTGTGGTTTCTGGAAATTACAAGCACAGGGTTTTTTTCTCAAAACAGCTAAAACAATACCTGGTAGAATTGGTCAGGAATGTGCTCACGAGCTGTCTGACTAGCAATCTCGCACAAAGGTCCCTTTGATTCCAGGATGTGGAGGGAAGAGAGACTCTTGCCAAGCAGTAAAGCTAAGGATTGTGCAGGGAGGCGGGACTAGCAACCAGCAGGTGAGAAAGAAGTATTGCTTTATTCCTGCATACTAAGGGAAGACTAAGGGAGCTGGAGAAGTGCCTCAATGGTTAACAGCACTGACTGCTCTTCCAGAGGATCTAGGTCCAGTTCCCAGTACCCACATGGCAGCTAATACCCATCCTTAACTCCCTTTCCAGGGGATCCAACACCCGCTTCTGGCCTCTATGGGCACCAGGCATGCACATGGTACACTTACATACATGCAGGCAAAATAAATGCACATAAAATAAAATTTTTTTTTTTTCTGAGACAGGGTCTCTCTGTAGCCCCAGCTGGCTTGGAACTAGATATGCAGACCAGGCTGGCCTCATTCTCAGAGATTCACTTCCCTCTGCCTCCCAAGCTCTGGGACTAAAGGAATATGCCGCCATGTCCAGCTAAATAAAATCTTTTAAAAAAATAAGATACATAGCTGGTTGTGGTGGCGCATGCCAGTAGGATTTGCTGAAGGAGGCAGAGGCAGGAGGATCTGGAGTTTGAAGCCAGCTTTTTGCCAGGCATGGTGGTGCATGCCTTTAGTCCCAGCACTTGGGAGGCAGAGGCAGGCAGATCGTTGTGAGTTCAAGGCCAGCCTGGTCTACACAGTGAGTTCAGGTCAGCTGGGACTACAGGGAGACCCTATCTCAAAAAGACAAAAAAGAAAAAAAGATACATGGGGCTGGAGAGATGGCTCAGCGGTTAAGAACACTGGTGGTTCTTGCAGGAGACCCAGGTTTGAATCCCAGCACCCACAAGGCAGCTAATAACTATCCGTAACTCGAGTTCCAGGGGATCCAACAGCCTCCTCTGTCCTCCGCAGGCATTGCACGACATGGGTGCACTTACCTACACACAGGCAATACACGCATACACATAAAAAATAAAATTAAAAACTATTAAAAAAAAATAAGATACCAAAACTTCCTTTTCCCAAAAATGTTTTCCAGACTTCTCCAGAAAACATCAGGCCTGTACTTTCAGAAAGAAGTTCACTAAAACTAGGCCTTACAGTGTGATTATGAAGAGGAGATGTCAATTAGAAGACTCATCACAAGGCTGTCTGTGATTAAGAAACGACCATGCCAAATTTATAGCTGCCTGGGAGAGACAGAGGAAACAGAACCACTCATACTTTTATAGTTGACATTAAAATAATAATTTTAATTTTCTGGCGACTTCTGACAGTTATATAATTTGGGGGGGTGTGAAACAGGGTCTCCCTGTAGCCCCAGCTGGCCTGGAACTCATATGTAGACCAGGCTGGCTTTGAACTCAGAGGTCAGCCTGCCTCTGCCTCCTAAGTGCTGGGACTACAGGCGCGTGCCACCATGCCCAGCAAGTTATATAATTAAAAATATTTGAAGGCTACTTCATCCAGCTTACTACACAAGAATTTCACTAGAATCCTCCAGTTTTACCAGCTTCAAAACTAGAAAATGTGATCACGTTATCAGTACTTTAAAGGAAACAGACCCTAAGAAGTGACTACTAAGCCAACACATCCCTGAAAATGAGGCCTGTTGACTACAAAATATCCCTGGGAGCTGAAGACTCCGGAAGTGCCACAAATAGTGCACATAACCAGGAATCTCATTAGGAAAAGAGGAAAATGACAGTATTTTCCGACAAGAGTGAAGCCCATAATCGTTCCAAAATAGATGTGTGCCTGAGCTTAGATGAGATTAATGCCCTTCAGTGTATCTGAGACAGGCATTGGTCACTTGGGGAAAAAAACTCAACATCTGTTTTCAAATGCTGCTGCACTCCTCATTCTCCAGGGTCCACCACTACTTGGCAGTAAATTTCTCAATGGATAATTTGAGCCTTGTTCCACTGTCCACTGTCTCCTCTTCAGCCTCAAGTTTACACAACAGCTTCTTGACTTCTGTGGAACTTATTTTACATGATAATGAGGATCAAGTAAGTCTCTGGACTTCCTTAGACCTCATCTGAAGTTCCATACAAAAATTCACAAGAGGCCAGAAATTAACTAAGAACTTATGAAAATTACTCCTGAGCTTGGCCAATCAATAAAGAGGACATTTTAAAAGAACCCACTGTTGTGAAATATCAAAAGTGAAACCTCAACTCCGCTAATATCTGACTCCTAAATGTTAAAGGTGAAGAATTCAGAAAAGCAAGCTTTACATTATGAGACTTCATTGGGGGGAGTGGGGAGGAATCCTTATCAAACAAAACAAGTGAACAAAAATTCCCAGTAAAAATCTGTACCTTCAAACTGAACCTTCTTGCAAGGTTGATTACCTGACTAGAGCTTCAATGACTGTGGAAAGTTGGAATGTTACAGGTCCAGAGTCTAATTACAATTTAATCTTGGGCTGTCTTCAGCCCCTCACCCCACTTGCCCATCTCAGTGTCAGCCCTAACTAACCCTAAGACTAACAGATAAAAAATTCCTTTTGGAATACATTAACTTAACAGAACCCAAGTTTCCACAAAACAAAAGACTGAGTGTCATCAGCTGGTATCTGAGGCCTAGAGCTGAGATTTCCTGCTTTGCTGCAAACACCTACTTAGTGTTTCCAAAATGAATTTGAAAAGTGCCTTGAATTATGACTTTCTTTGTTCTGTTACTATAAAAACTTCATCAAATCGATATGACGTTGGAATACAGAATTTAGGGTACTCTAAATCTTTTCCCAGGCCTCTCATACTGGGCTCCAAAATAAACTATCTCTTATCCTCTTTGAGGTGAGAGTTAGGTTTTGCACCGACAAAACTCTGAACAAAATCAACCACAAAAATGGGAGAGAACAGCAGACTGGGAAAACCACGAGAAACATGGATTAAAGTTAGAGAGGAACTCGAGTCTCCAGGTGAAGACGGTTGTATGGTCATGTTCAACCATCACCAACCCCCCATTTTACAGAAGGAAGAAGCTGAGCCACTAAAATGTTATCCTGTCTTTAAAAAGGAGAAGAAAAACAAACGCTGAAAGCATCCAAAACTAGTAAGACATTGAGTGGCTCTAGAACACAGCGCCTGGGATGGCAGGTTTCAGCGCCATCAGGAGCCAAGCCCGAGTCTCCCGGGGTGCAGGGAGGACTCAGCGTCCTGATGGGTCCCGGTCCCCAGAACTACCGAGCCATGTGCATAGAGTTGGGTGAGCGAAGTGTATAAAGTTCTGACACCCCACAACCCAACAACCCCAGCGACCCAGTGCAGATCCTGCACCGCGGCTGCGGGGCAGGGCCCCAGCGCCACCCTGTCCGGCGGGGAAGGACCTGGGGCGGCCACCTGTGGCTGCGCCCCGCGGGGAGCAGTTTCCTCGACGCCCGCCTCCCCGCCCGCGGCCCCGCGCACCTCCGACAGGGCGCTCTGGTCTTCGGCGTCCTGGCCGCTCAGCACCCTCTTCAGCTTGTCCATCTCGGCCCGGCGTCCTACCGCTGCGGCCAGCGCCGGCCGCCTGTTGCGCGCGCTCGCTCGTTCACCGGCTCTTCCGGGTGCGCGGCCGCCGCCTACCAGTGCGCACCCGACCTAGGCACCTGCCCACCCGCGGGCCCGGCATGCCCCGCGCCAGCCACGCCCCCTGCCTGCGGGCTGTCGGGGTAGGTCCTCCCCAACCCGTTGCGAGGCTTAGGGTGCAGAGGATCCCTGATGCAGAACTCCTGTGCTGCGTCCGGTGCCGCGTTCCAAACCGGAACTGGCCGCGCCTCGGGCCTCCGGGATTCACGCCGCGGCTAGCATCGCCAAGTGCCAGAGTCTGGAGGAAGCAAGAGGGGGCTTGTGCAGACTGGAGAAAAGATGTAGTCCACTCTGTGCAAACAGCAGTCAGGGCTAACTGGCCCAGATCCAATAGGTGCCAGGCTGTGGCTGTGGGTGTGTCAGTAAAAATAAAGCAGCGTTTATGTAGTTCCTAGGGAAAATGTATCGAGGTATGATTTGGACAACACCTAAGGAGAGATTGCGAGTTGGCTGAAGGGTGTCTATTGGCTGCTTTACTGACTTCAAACCCTGCTGCAGTGCTGCTAATTCAGTGTTGCAGAGTCCATATGAACTCGTGTAGTCCCCTGGCAGGATAGAAGCCTGCTCTCCTCGCACACTGGTTGCTGGAGAGGTCTAGGAAGCCTATATTAATAATAAATTGGCTCAGAAAAACAATGAGGCTGACGTGTACCTCAGTGCTAGAGTGCCTGCCTCTGTGACTTCATCATTATGGGTGTTCAAATGTACTTTTTGCTGTTGTAATTTACATTTTGGTTGTTTGTTTGTTTTTTCATTTATTTTCATGTCATGTGTGGAGTGTTTTGCATGCATGCATACAGTACACCACAGTGTGTGTGCAATGTCAGTAGAGGTCAGAAGAGAGCATCGGAGCCCCTAGAACTGGAGTTAGGAACCAGTATTAGCCACCCTGTGCATTCTGGGAACCCAACCTGGGCCCTCTAGAAGAGTAGCCAGTGCTCTTGAGGAAAAAAAAAAGAGACAGAAAGAGCACTTTTCGAGGCCAGCTTCGTCTACATAGTGAGTTCCAGGCCAGCTATGGCTGGCTATAAGGAGACCCTGTGTCCAAAAAAATCCCCTGAAAAAAAAAAAAAAACTTCTTAAAATATGAAAAATTATTTTGAAATAGAATTCATCATTATGATGACAGTCTCTTCTAAATTTGTAGCAATTGAATCGATATTTACCAATTGATATTTTTCCAGTTTTCAATAACTTCAAATGTGTTTGTTGATGGTGGAGGATGAAACATAATCAATTGTATAGCTACCTTTATAACTTTTAAATACGATACATGGACTTCTGGGCCCTATAAGGAGAATTTTCTGTTTCAAAGCAAAATAGCTTTCAATGAAAGTATGCAGACATGACTTTTGTGTTCAATCACTGATGAAAGACGCAGCAGCCACTGATAACAAGGTTCTAAACACAGAATCTCGACCTGAAGCAGAAAGTGTTTGTCTACTCAGAGGAATGGACCACTCAGCTCTTACTCCAGAAAAGCCTTCTGGTTGCAATCTTTGCATGGAAGGCCTTCCTACCCTCTCTGTCCCCTACTCTCTTGTCTCACATAGTCATTTGTTCCTGCATTTATTTTGCAGTACTACATACTATGCACTATATATAAAGTAGGTGGCATACAAACTTAGACCATAAGCACACATTATCCCTATGAGGAATTTCCAAGATCAACCTCCTCTCCTCCAAAAAGAGGAGGAAGCATTTAAGAGTTGATTGCAGAGCCCTCTTTTAAAAAGAGAGGGAGGTTCAGAGGGAAGAGTGTCAGGAGTAGAGCAGTGAAAGAGGAGAGGGCAGCCCTGGAGCGGGGAGGAGGGGCGGAGCAGGTGTCAGGAGGTAGAGGAGAAAGACCAGGAAGAGCAGTGATAAGATGAGACCAGAAGAGAAAAATGAGGGGAAATTAAAACATGGACGAAGAATAGTGAGTGGTAATAGGCAAGAGAAGGCTAAGAGAAGGCAAAGGAGAGAAGTGAATGAGAGGTGATGTAAGGTAGATAGAAGAGAGGAAGGTGGGCAGGAGCCAGGAAGGAGGGGGCAGGAAGGAGGAGAGGGAAGTAAGACCTGGGCTGAGGACCAGGGCAGGAGGCCAGGGAGAAGAGGATGAGGGAGGAG